AATTATCAAAATATAATTTCACACTTTTCAATGACGAAACTACTTTTTTAAGATTTTCCCCATGTGGTACCTCAATTTTATTTTTGCTGACAAATCTGACAATGTCGGGCTGTTTAAAGAAAAAGCAAAGCTGAAATTGAAAAATAACTTAAAGTCAAAAGTAGTAAAAAGAAGAAAACTTACTTCTATTCATTCAAATTCCAATCACCAAATTTCGTCTCTATTTTTGTTTTGTTTCATTTTTCCAGTCTGAAAAATACATTCCTTCCACCTGCAAAACTGCTCTTGATGACATTTGGGCATATTAAAGTATCCTACGAGCAATAACTGCCGTATGCTTTATGAAAATTTGAAAAGCAATGACAGCCATAGCTCCAAAATAAGTAAACAACCCAGCGTTCCTGAGCCAGCTTCCAAGTTTTCCATTTTCCTAGCTGCTTTTTTGAATGTTTTCACATCTGTCAACACTTAGTTTTTGTCTGTTACAATCCTCAAATAAGTTTTCTTTCTTTTAAAAAGGTGAATGACTAACAAATTCAAATGATATCCCTCTGAATAAAACACAATTATTTTCCTCCCGTGAAATACACAACTTTAAAAAATGGCTGCCGCTTACATTTAACAAAACCAGGTCTAATATAAATTCGCAATAAGTAACAGAAATTTGAATGGATGGTTGGACTTTTTCTCCTACAAGAATTGTTTGTTTTTATTATCAAAACAAGCAATCATTCATGTTTTTTAGTAAAATGAATAACATCGCCGTCATTTAACGTTGATTGCCGAACTTATTTTTTAGCTCAAGACTTCTTGTATGTAATGAGAAATTCCGACTAAATAGGGCTCTCAATGGGGAAAACAGGTTTTAATATTAACGTTAATATTTTGAAAATTTCGTTTTAACTAGTTTTTAAGCATAAAATAAGAAGAAAATTTGTTTGTTTATTGTGTAAGATGTAATTTTATTTCATCTCGTGAACTTTAAAAACAGTTTTCTCACTCGTGGCTACGCCACTCGTGAGAATACTCTTCTTAAGCCCTCGATGAAATAAAATTTCATCTTACACACAAACAAACAAATATCCTCTATTTCTTACTGTTATTGTTTTTTTTTTTCACCAAACATAAACACTGCGATATTCATTTTATAAAATTGTTAGCATTGCTTTGGACCAGATTTACCTCTAACAAAATATAGTGTTGATAATCGTTACCTAAGGCAAATCTACTCTAGTTTGTTTTATCTATGGTTGTGCTTTCTTCTAAAAGAAGTTCTTTAGCATCCTTTGTGTTATGTAAATGAAAGATGAAAGTTAGTTGTATTCGTATATTTCTATGAATTATGTATGTAGTTATGTTTTGAAGTTCCATTAATAGCTTTATACGACTAACGAGTAGTACCCCTCTTTGAATAATTATTTGCAGACTATACAAACGCATCAATTCGTTTATTTCCGTTAATTAATCATAGAAAATAAAATTAAAAATATAAAAATAAAGAGTCTGGTTACCTAATTTCAATGTTAATTTCGATGAGATTATTTGTGTTCATGCATGTACATGTATATATCAATATTTTAAGGTTTATTTTGCTACGTCGCCGTCTTTCAGTGTATGTCAGAAGCTAATGATGCACATAATGTCTTGATACTGATGAACGTAGGTCAAAATGTGTGTACTATAAAGATTAGATCTTTTTTGTCATAATGTATCTTTCTTTTTCAGAATCCGAGGCTTGGCAGATATGAATACTACGATTTGGTATTTTTTGTCAATAATATACAGGGATCCGGTAAGGTAGGTTATTGTTGAGAATCTTTATATCGGTGGATATGATTTGTACTTACACCAAGGTCTTTGAATTGATATATTAAATTTTCTCTTGCAAGAAGAAGACAGTTCGGTCTGGTAGCATCAAAATATTTGCAATCCTCATTCAACTTTTATGAGTGTGCACGTACAATAACTAAGGTAGTATACACCTAACGAAGACTATCAGTTTTGACAAATTTGGAACATAATTGTGTTGCATAATTTAAGGACACATGTTTTAAAAATTTGAACAACATTCACCGAACGATTTTGACTATGCACAATTGCCTTATTTTAAACACCAAACTATCAAACCACATAACCCACACACGCTGATTGCCTGTTTCTTGTGAAAATGTTTGAAAAGTGTCTTAGCCATCTACCCTACTGTATCGATTTTGAACATTTGTTTGAGTAGTGACTAGTAGCATCTACCGCTAAAATCTGTATATTACATTCTCAGATGTACGGTGGCACAAAGGTGACATGTGTGTGTCTTTATTTATCTCGTGGCCACGAGATACTATGTCGTTGCCACTAGTTACTAAGTCGTGGCCACGAGATACTATGTCGTGGCCAAACGAGTTACTAAGTCGTGGCCACGAGATAGCTAAGTCGTGGCCACGAGATACTAGGTCGTGGCCACGACATCTTATAAATTTCGAGGTCATTGGGTCAAAAGTCAGGGTCAAAGTGACGCTAATGTAAAATTATTGATCAGTCAATAAGTTGTATAAATGGCACTTTTACAGGCTGGTGAAGTAGGGACATCCTTGTACTATAGCACATGTCTTATTAATTAGGGAAATTCATATAAATTGTGTAATCTGATTGGTTATTTATCTCGTGGCCACGACTAAGCTATCTCGTGGCCACGACTTAAAAACTCATGGCCACGACTTAGTAAGTCGTAGGCTCGACTTAGTAACTCGTGGCCACGACATAGTTTCTCGTGGCCACGACCTAGCTATCTCGTGGCCACGACTTAGTAACTCGTGGCCACGACATAGTATCTCGTGGCCACGACTTATCTATATCGTGGCCACGACTTAGTAACTCGTGGCCATGACATAGTATCTCGTGGCCACGTCTTAGCTATCTCGTGGCCACGACTTAGTAACTCGTGACCACGACATAGTATGTTGTGGCCACGACTAAGCTTTCTCGTGGCCACGACTTAGTAACTCGTGGCCACTTGGTTATTTATCTCGTGGCCACGACTTAGCTATCTCGTGTCACGACATAGTATCTCGGGGCCACAACTTAGCTATCTCGTGGCCACGACTTAGTAACTCGTGGCCACGACTTAGGAACTCGTGGCCACAACTTAGTAACTCGTGGCCACGACATAGTATCTCGTTGTCACGACTAAGCTAACTCTTGGCCACGACTTAGTAACTCGTGGCCACGACATAGTAACTCGTGGCCACGACTTAGCTATCTCGTGGCCACGACTTAGTAACTCGTGGCCACGACTTAGTAACTTGTGGCCACGACTTAGTAACTCGTGGCCACGACATAGTATCTCGTGGCCACGAGATAAATAAAAGCACACACATGTCACATTTGTGCCACCGTAGTTATGTGTTCAAACTTTGCCGACTTCTGGTAATGTATTACGCACATATAACCATCTTCTCATTTTAGAAATAAAATTCTGCAATTACGATGCCAAATTTCAAATTAAAACAAGAATATAATGATTTTTTGAATTTGTAAATTATTTCCTGATATTTTGTGAACAAATTTGCTAGGGTTTCAGGTAAAATGGTTAAGAGAAAAGAGTCAATTGAATAATGCCAAAAACAGTAATTGTACATGAAGATAATTCACATTTTTATATTTTTGTAGAAGGAGTTAAATTTTATTTTTTGTAAGAAATCTGTGTCAGCGTTTTCATAATTTAATAAATTTTCAACTTCCACAAGTGAATAGATAAAAGAGAGGTAATTAATATTGACCTATAGCATTGTAATAAAATTATTCGCTTATCTTCTTGTAGGACCGTCAGCTCTGCCGTATGACACATCTGCGTATGTTTTCAAATTAAAAATGTACCCTTATTCTGCTTGAGCCGGATGCCTAAGGCGGGGTATAAACGGTAACAATTGTACTTTCCAGTACCGTCCCTTTGAATCTGCTCTCACTTGTAGCGAGTCGTTTATTTGTATTCTTTTAATATTCATTTTTCAATGACGCTTGAAAATAAAACGTCTTTGGAAGCGTCATTTGCCGTTTATATACTTGGCATCTGTTTACTGTCTGCTATTGTATTTGTGTCTTTAACAAAACTCCGCGGATAACCTTTTATTAATGTCGCAAAATAAGGATAATAGGACACCGTTTCGTTATTTCTTTAATCGCGCAATGAAATAAAATGGATTAAATATGAAAACAATATAACAGTTAACATTTCAGGGTGACGTTAATATGACCCAAACGAACCTAATGTTACACATATATTGAAATAACGTATAAAGTTATATATCTAATTCCTTGGGAAACAAATGTGCAATTAGCAAACATCACGAAAAAGACGAGAACATTAATTTGATTAAAAGGTAAAGGCAACGTTGACGTGACATAGCCCCCAAAAATCAACAAACGACTCCTTTTGTTAGTGTTAGTAGCAGTCTAATATATCTTATAACTATGTGCTAATAGCAGTAACTTAACAAAACAGGATTGGGGAAAGAAATTTCACAAAACTAACTTAAACTTTGGACACAATAGTTATACTATTGTCCCGGTTTTATAGATTTAATCAAAGTTTAAATTGTCATGAAACAAACTAATAAAACAAGATGTCTCACGAACAATGTGCAGCATTTATGTATAGTTGAAGCAATGTCATGTAAAACAACAACAGCATCAACAACAACAACATCAACAATTTATTTCAGCATTAATATACATCTATTTCTAGCCTACAATACTAGAATAATGTGTATTAAAACAGTCACAAAGAATATAAAAAAAAACGAGAAATGTCTATCACAATTATAATTATTCTGTCCATGTGATATCACAAATATAAATCTCATTCCGCCTCATTCCACCTTTAATACATTTACAGTAAAAACATTCGTCCGCAAAATCATGAAAGAAATAATATATTTCATCTTGATATATCACAATTCGTCTATAACATCCATATCTATATCTTGATCTTTCGTAATATTTTTTACGTTTATTTACAAAACTGACACAATATCCAGTATAGAACACTCCTAACAAAAAGATAAACTTCGTCCATTTCCTTTGTCTCTACACAGTGTTATAGGACTCCTAAAATGTACATTTACTGGCATTTAATTACAACAAATACATGGTATTATCAAATATTGATTGAATATCAAACATTTCACTAATAAAAAGAACTAAAACAAAATATGCACGTTCGCAAATAGTAAGTAAAATTATGTAAGTAATATGAAACAAACCCATATCAAAATTAGTTAGAATGTAAAGATAGCAAAATACTTCATAGGCTTTATTTTATATTTAATAATAGAAAACACAATAGATTATGTTGTAGATTATTGATTATAAAACATTATAATGAAATACAATAAGACATTTTGCAGATACATTATTATTAATTTAAGTTAAAACACACAATTGTTATTATCCGCCGTTAAAGAATATTTACGATCAACAAATTATTTAAGCTAAACTGCTCTTGTTGAAAGCAACAATAACCTTATTTCCCACTGTTTGCAGAAACTTGTCCAACTTGTCGAGTAAATCGTAAAATTCAGGTCGTCTTTCGGGCAAAAAAGACCAGCACTCTTTCATAATACTGTATCTGAAATGGGGTAAATTAATAAATAATTTATTATCGTGAATTTGATTTATTGGACATTTGCAAATGCAAAGTAGCCATTCATAATGAACAGATCAGATAATATTCTATGCCGAACGATCTTATTATCCCTCGCCGAAAGGCGGCGGGGGATATAGAAATAGTCTCCGTCCGTCCGTCCTTCCGTCCGACATTTTTGTCCGGAGCATATCTCAAAAAGTATTTGAGGTAGCAACTTGAAACTTCATAGGTGGATAGATCATATTAAGGAGGAGTGCAGTGCACAAGAATGATAACTCTACCATGCATAATTTTTGAGTTATTGCCCTTTGTTATTTTTCAAACTTAATTTTTGTCCAGAGCATAACTCAAAAAGCCTTTGAGATATCAACATGACACTTCATAGGTTGATAGATTTCACTCAGGAGGTGTGCAATGCACAAGAATGATAACTCTTTCCCTTCATAATTTTTTAGTTATTTCTCTTTTTGTTTTTTTTCATACTTAATTTTTCACCTGAGTGGAGCATAACTCAAAAAGTCTTTGAGATGTCAACATGAAACTTCATAGGTGGATAGATCTTATTGAGGAGGAATGCTGTGCGCAAGAATAATAACTCTTCCCTTTATAATTTTTGAGTTTTTGCCCTTTGTTATTTTTCATACTTTTTGTCCGGGGCTTATCTCAAAAGAATTTGAGGCATCAACTTGAAACTTCATAGGTGGATAGATCATATTGAGGAGGAGAGCAGTGCACAAGAATGATAACTCTACCCTGCATATTTTTTGAGTTATTGCCCTTTTGTTATTTTTCAAATTTAATTTTTGTCCAGAGCATAACTCAAAAAGCCTTTGAGATATCAATATGAAACTTCATAGGTGGATAGATCTCACTCAGTAGGTGTGCAGTGCACAATAATGATAACTCTACCCTTCGTTATTTTGAGTTATTGCCCTTTGTTATTTTCCATGCTTAATTTTTGTCCAGAGCATAACTATAAAAGCCTTTGAGATATATACTTGAAACTTCATAGGTGGATAGATCTCATTGAGGAGGAATGCAGCACACAAGAATGATAACTCTATCCTGCAAAATTTTTCAGTTATTGCCCTTTGTTATTTTTCATGCTTAATTTTTGTCCAGAGCATAACTATAAAAGCCTTTGAGATATCAACTTGAAACTTCATAGGTGGATAGATCTCATTGAGGAGGAGTGCAATGCACAAGAATGATAAAGCTACCTGGCATAATTTTTCAGTAATTGCCTTTTGTTACTTTTCATGCTTATTTTTTGTCTAGACAGTAACTCATTAAGTATTTACTATATAAGGTATTCACTTGAAACTCAAAATATGACTTCGTCTCCGTCAGTCAATATTTCAATTATTGCCTTTTGTTATTTTTCATGCTTAGTTTTTGTCCGGAGCATTACTAAAAAAGCCTTTGAGATATCAACATGAAACTTCATAGGTGGATAGATCTCAAAGAAGAGGAGTGCAGCACACAAGAATGATAACTTTACCCTGCCTAATTTTTCAGTTATTGCCCTTTGTTAATTTTCATGCTTAATTTTGTCCAGAGCATAACTATAAAAGCCTTTGAGATATCAACTTGAAACTTCATAGATGGATGGATCTCATTGAGGAGGAGTGCAGCACACAAGAATGATAACATACCCTGCATTTTTCAGTTATTGCCCTTTGTAACTACTGCCATCAGTATTCACATAGGTTTCAAATCTGTAATCACTTCAGCCATCAGGGATAGCCATGTTGACATGGCTCTTGTTTGATAAATAGGTTTAATTTTATGATATTAACAACAAAGAAGCCTTTGTCCGATTACATTCACAGGTTAAAAATATCTATCATTGTGATATTGGCACTCAGCATATTTGAATATCAGATTTAACACGTAAATTTGTTAATATGTTTGCTTCTTAAAGTATTGTTGTATCAAATTATACGCGCAAATAAATTAAATCTTTAAGCAACTTAAAATATTGATAAATCATATTTTAAACGTAAATTAGTAATATATAATATATTTTTTGGCATTACATTGTAATACAAATAATGGTTTTACTATCGTCAATATAAAAATATTAATACTTTAAACACATTCGAAAATTATTGATCATACATTATCAATACTATCAACAGTGAAAGGTGTGAAATAACTAATAAATAAATAGCTTTGATAATACCTATGAAATATTTCTAATCGTAAATATAAGGATTATGTTCTTACATATTTTCTGGACACAGAGGTGGCGACGGCATAACGTAGTTCTGTTTATACATTTCCTGCAACATATCCGGCGGTATCCCAGGATATGGCCCAGCTCCTAATGTCATAATTTCCCATAGTAAAATCCCATAAGACCAAATGTCACTTTTAGGGGTGTATCTTCCGTTTGATAATGATTCAGGACTCATCCATTTATAAGGCATCCTTCCCTAAATATTATTTATAAATGTGAATGAAAAAAGAAGCTTGCAACCTTAACATCTACCATGTTTAAAAACACAAATGTGTTGAAGTTTGACTTTTTATATATCTTTATGAAAACATGTCATTTCTTAAAGTGACATTATGCCCATCAAAGTGTAAATGATGTGTGCATAGGCAAAGTAAAATAACATTTTGCCAAAATGGTATTCAAAACTACGCAAAAATCATCAATAATCATCGTGATCCATTGACATTTCTGTAAATAGCCTTTAAAGCTGCAGCCTCCAGATGAGTAAAAATATTTCAATAAAATTAAACTTGAGAAATATGTACTAAAATTTTAGGGAAAATTAAATGATTCGAGATTCAAGTAATATTTTACATGTTATGTGCGATTAATGACTTATTTTTCAGTATTTACAACTATATTTGCGTTACTAACGCTATTTATGCATATTTTGACCACTTTTTGGTAATTTAAGTGGGTTGCAAGTGCCATTGATAATGTGTAAATTGCTTCCTTTTGTTATTTTTACAATATTAAACATTCAAATACATTCTCAAAATGTTCATGAAAATAAGCATGAATCTGGAGGCATGCTGTTTTAAATAAAATGTGTCAGCACGTTTGATTTTCTAAAAGAGTTGGACATTTTTTTTAAAAACTCAGGTAATTTTTATATTTTATCCCAAAGATGTTTCATGATAAATTATTGGTCAATCACCATCACCAGTCAATCTTTTATTACTAATTCAGCTTATTTTGACACCGAAATAATGAGCATAATGTTACTTTATATATATACAAATTCTCCCCGTTATTATTTGGCAGAAGCAAAACATTCAATATTCGAACTCGAAACAAGATAATCGTCAACATCTGGTAAAAATATATTTATTACTGATTTAACATTTAAAAGTTTTTAATTAACCTTACGTGCATAATGTGGATTAAAGAATACAAGTAATCTGACCTTAAATATCTGAGTGAGAAAAAAAAATCTTTTACAAAGTTTAGAAAGTGTGTATGCTTTTACAAAATTGTTCTGTTGATAATTACGTTTGAACATTGATAATAATAGCCGTTCTCATAAACGTCCCGTGATAATCCAAAGTCGGATATTTTCGCCACATGATCATAAGTAAGAAGTATATTTCTTGCCGCCAGGTCCCTGTGGATAATCTAAAATCATAGGAACATAATAAAGACATAAATGTCAACACGTCAAAATGTATGTCAGTATTTGGATTTTAAACAATATAAGTATATGCTACAAAACAAATGATAACGTCACTGTTATAATTCGGGGTCCGAATTCCCTTGTAACTAGGGTCGTTGACTAAGTCTAACAATTAAGTTCTAATAAGTTGTCTGTACATTTAATAAAATTAAATAAGTTTCACGAAGGATTTCTACCAGTAGATTTTAAAATCGACATATATTATTAATTGTCAATCTGAGCCATAACTCTAAAAAGTTTTCTTTCATAATAATGATGCCAGAATCTTTTAATTTTAATTTCAGCGGGTTTAAATTCTAAAACAAACTACATTTTAAAAAATACCTGTAATTTTGATAAATGGTCCATGCCTTTGGCAATATGCCACATATATACAAACATACGAGGATGTGATTTCTGCAAGTACGCTTTCCATTCAGACGAGTCCAGGTTTTGTATAACTTTGGAATTGACTTGATTCAACTTTTTCAGATGAGCAAGTAAGTCACCATTGTCTGCAAACTCCAATACCATTATCATGGATCCTGAAGAAATAGGTTACAGAACAATAATTCCTACCGTTTCAAACGAGGTTACAGAATATAAATCGGCTGATAAATACAAATAAGACATTTAATCAGGTTAATGCAATATTGCTTGTAATGTGTTGACAAAAGAAAAACAAAACACCTCATTTGTTAATTACAATTACGTTTAGATAATATTTTGTCTAATTGTTCAGAAGAATGTAAAGTTGGATCAAACTAACAGAGGAAGCTAAAAATAAAATTGTGAGAAATGGATAAAGAGAACCTCCTGAAAATTAGTAATTCTGGTAAAAAGCAGCGTAAATCAAGTGGAATTTCTACCATGCTACAAGTTTATAAAAATCCAAATAACAAAATGGACTATATGTTACCATTTATTTCTCCAGTGCCGAACATTTGTATGACATTTGGATGATTCCCAATGTTGGATAAATTTCGATATTCTATAGCAAGTGTTTCCGATTCATCTATTCTTGCATTTCCTGCGACATAAAACTCAAACATCTTTTATACTTATATCAACCAGGCTTAAGATATTAGGACACTCAAACGTTTTGGTTCTGTAAAAAGTTTTGTATTGATGTATTGTGTCAGGAAACAACGTATCAAAGACTGTTATCAAATTTTTATCATTGTATTGTCTACATAATGTTTAATGTTTATTTGTTTAAGCAAAAGAAAATATATATTTAAAGAATCTTTTTGTTTCTACCTCTCATTTTTTTCACTGCAACTTTCCTCCACACATTATCAATGTCTGAGGCAAAGCCCTCAAAAACATCGCCGAAAGCTCCTCTTCCAATTAACTGGCCTAATCGTAATGAACCGTATTGCTTACTGTCCACGCATCCACCATTGCTTGTGTTCTTTTAACATAAGATGGAATATTTATATTGATAAGGCAAGTTGTCTTAAATATTAATATACCACATGTATCAGTGCGAGAAGTTTAAGAAATTTAATTATGTGGTCATTCTGGGCGACTTACAGTATAAAATCTTATGCATTTAATTAAAACCTTTATATTTGCTAAATTCATAATATGCAATATATGCTACCGGTTTAAATTATTCTTAAAATCATCATACAGTTGTACAATCATTGTAAATTTATATGTCCACAACTCAGGTGTATAAGGCCTTAACAATGGCTTAAGTCAGGGTTTGATTTTTTTTTAATTTTTTGTGTTGGGTTTTACCTGGTACTTTCACAGTATAGGTCATATGGCAATTTTTCAGCTTGAATGGTGGAGTAAGACCTCAGGGGCCCTTCCGTGCATTATTTCAGTCCCGTACGGGGACCTGAGTAGAACCACCGACGTTCCGCAAGGTAGCTTCCTCACATGAAAGAATCCAAAGTCATTGTCGAGATTCGAACCCAAAGTTGTAAGTGTTGTGTTTCTTTTGTTGTTTTTTATACCCCCAAAAACGAAGTTTGGGGGGGTATATAGGAGTAACCCGGTGGTCGGTTGGTCGGTCGGGCGGTCGGTCGGTCGGTCGGTCGGTCCAGACGTCCGTTGCATTTTCCTTGTCCGGACCATAACTTGAAGACTAATGGTTGGAATTCAATATAACTTCATACAATGGTCAAGCACATTGAGAGGAAGTGCAGTGCACAAGAACCATAACTCTATCTTGACTAATTACAGAGTTATTGCCCTTTGTTACTTTTCCTTGTCCGGGGCATAACTTGAAAACTACTGGTTGGAATTCAAAACAACTTCATACAATTGTTAAACACAGTAAGGGGAAGTGCAGTGCACAAGAACCATAACTCTATCTAAAGTAATTACAGAGTTATTGCCCTTTGTTACTTTTCCATTGCTTTCTTTTGTCCGGACCATAACTTGAAGACTAATGGTTGGAATTCAATATAACTACATACAATGGTCAAGCACATTGAGAGGAAGTGCAGTGCACAAGAACCATAACTCTATCTTGACTAATTACAGAGTTACTGCCCTTTGTTACTTTTCCTTGTCCGGGGCATAACTTGAACACTACTGGTTGGAATTCAAAACAACTTCATACAATTGTCAAATACAATAAGGGGAAGTGCAGTGCACAAGAACCATAACTCTATCTAAAGTAACTACAGAGTTATTGCCCTTTGTTACTTTTCCATTGCTTTCTTTTGTCCGGACCATAACTTGAAGACTTATGGTTGGAATTCAATATAACTACATACAATGGTCAAGCACATTGAGAGGAAGTGCAGTGCACAAGAACCATAACCCTATCTTGACTAATTACAGAGTTATTGCCTTTGTTACTTTTCCTTGTCCGGGGCATAACTTGAAAATTACTGGTTGGAATTCAAAACAACTACAATTGTCAAACACAGTAAGGGGAAGTGCAGTGCATAAGAACCATAACTCTATCTTGACTAATTACAGAGTTATTGCCCTTTGTTACTTTTCCATTGCTTTCTTTTGTCCGGAGTATAACTTGAAGACTAATTGTTGGAATTCAATATAACTTCATACAAATTACAGAGTTATTGCCCTTTGTTACTTTTCCTTGTCCAGAGCATAACTTGAAAACTTCTGTTTGGAATTCAATACTTCATACAGTAGTCAAGGACATTAAAAGGAAGTGCAGTGCATAAGAGCCATAACTCCATTTTGACAAAATACAGAGTTACTGCCCTTTGATACTTTTCCTTGTCTGGAGCATAACTTAAAACGTACTGGTTGAAATTCAAAACAACTTCATACAATGGTCAAGCACAAAAAGAGGAAGTGCAGTGCACAAGAACTATAACTCCATCTTCAGTATTTATAGAGTTATTGCCCTTTGTTCCTTTTCTTTGTCTTTCTGGACTTATTACAGAGTAATTCAATAAAACTTCATCAATGGCCAACCACATTGAAAAGAAATGCAATATACAAGAACCACAACTATCTTTAATTGCCCACAAGCATAACTCTATATTTCAATTCTTTTACAAGATATTCTGTTACTAGTAACATCCTCATTTCCGAAGCAGTCTTGTGGGGGTATTAATCACATTTAGTGATAGTTCTAGTTTTATATTATTCGCATATTAAAATGTAAACATATGAAATTAAAAAGAAAGAGTCCAATCATTTTGCAAATGTAATAGAATAAAACTTTATAGTGTAAAAATGGTTCTAAAGTATAGTCTTTAAAGACTAAAGACAACGTATTACAGCAAAAAATATTACCAGTTTCGGCACTTCATATCCTTCAAACGATGTGTACTGTAAAGTGTTGGAATCAGCAGCAATGTCTGCAACAGATCTTGGTCTGTAATACTGGCCGTTCAATATCATCTGAAAGAAATGGACAATAATCACGTGTCACAATCATATGTAATGATGCTGGCTCCTGAAGTCGTGTGTGGCTATGCTTACCGTCGTATGAACAAATCTGCGGACGTTTCTTAATCAAAACTAGTCAATTTTTATTCTTAATTATTCTAAATTCTGCATTAGCCATTGCGTGTGCGCGATGGTGGTAGCGTGCACTTTTTAGTACGGTCTTTGAACAGACTTAATCGAACGAGCCACCAACATTTAAAAAAGCAGTTTTTGGTGTTCTTAAGGGACTCTGTTTATCTTTATTCAATCAAATGTCTATAATCATACCATACAGTTATACATACAATTCTTTGCTTAGTAACTTTCATATCAAATGTTTATTTTGTGAAACACAATTATTTCGTCAAATTATGACTACATACAATATCTTTAAAATTTCTTTATTCTAAGAATATTTTGATTTCTCTGTTTGGTGCAATATCTATAATTTAAAACTAACATCTACAAAATGTATGTATTTAACCACACATGTAATATCATACTCTGATTGGTCTCTTGATCCCTTTCGTGCGGGTCCGGAATAAGAACAGTGCTACAATTGCAAGGCATGCACAGATGACTACAGTAGCTGACAATATGACTGCAACTATTTTGTAGCCTGTCAAACCTGAAACTATACACCACAACTTAAACCATACAACAAATTAGGTTTTTTAAAGGAGTACGAACCGTAATGAAATCGCAAAATATCGACAAAAGTCGGGGAAAAAGTATGTACAAAACTCGTAGCCGCTTTTAATCAAATGGAGGGAATTTTCCACTCTAACGTCATTTTTGAGAAATTAGAATATGACTACTAACATTCCGCAAGTAATGTAGTCATTGGACGACAGAACTAAATGATGATCAAGAGATAAAGAAATATAGAAATATTACTTGGCACAATTCTTCAACGGACTTTTTTTTCAATAGATAGCGATTTAAACATTTAAAATCAAAGATGATAAATAAATATCAAATCGAGAGGCTATTTTCGGCTACTTTTGAACAGCATGAACACTTGTACACAACTTGTTAAACAAGTTTAAAACGAAATATAAAATATTTATGATTTGGTCACATATTTTCTAAACTGTTGTAGATACTAAATATTAATTTATTTTGATTGACTTTGAACAGGTTATTGCAAACAAAAAATACAATAAAATTGGACAACAAATTCATTGTCGAAGCTCTTTATGAGCTATTTTGATACTAAAAATTAAACATTTGAAGCTAAGAAAGCGTTTTCAATAATACACCATGACGGTGACGATACTTCACTGTACATTTATGCTCTGGAGCAATATTTCAAAACAATTGTGTCTTGTAAATATCCGTCTAATAATCTATTTTCCGATATAATGGTGGTACTCTTCAGAGATGAATCTATCAAGCTGAACATGATAAAAATTAAATCTTAAAATCTTTAAAGCTGTTAATGATGCGTTTTAATGCTATCATGGTTTTTGTCAATTTTAATTCAAAAATATTCTATCTTTCTATCTTTTGCAAAATTATAGCATGTTTGCGGCTTAACATAGGTGCTCGTTCGTATATAAAACAGTGTAACAAGGTACAAAAACTATTCCCCAGTATCAAAATCTGGAAACTAAAACGTTTCGAGCCGGGTAAGTGGTTACACTGAATAAATCATTGCCTTTGTAAACTTAGTTTATCTCTTATTGCAAGACTATGCTTTCTAACATGTCTTGCATTTTCTTTTACCTGAACTATCTATTCCCTGTTTACACACAACATCAGTAGTGACAAAACTATTCATGCTAATATTTTCAGGTGTTGTGCAATTTAGATCCTCGAACAACATTCCGTTCTGATGAATGATGATCAGCCAAAGAAGATCACAGTCGCAGTGTAATGGATTATTTTCTAATACACTAAAAAATATATAATAATTTAACAAAATAGCAATCAAGACCCAACTTGTAAATTATATGCATCATTATCAGTGGTACATGAGAGTATTAAGGTGACAACATGGTTATGCGTAAATTACAATTGTATTCTTTTAATATAAAATCAACATTAAAAGTTTTAAGTATTTTTGCTATGGCCAATTGAGATTACATTACCCTTTTATTTTCAGAATTAAGATCAATACTTGATATTTGGTTTTAGGTGGAGGAATGACCGGGTGTTAACACGTCGGACTAGTAATCCAAGGATTGCTGACCGCGTGGGTTCGGACCCAGCAAGGAGCAAGCCGTTGTTTTCTTGCCACCAAACTTTACATTCATTGCTTATTACTGGTTAATTCGAGATTCGAGAGTGTTTAATAGTTTTCAACACAATCAAACTAAAAAAATGTGTTTAAACTTATATTTGATGCGACATATTTATATTGTTTTCTTCACAAATATGCAGGAAGAAGAATTTATTGTATATTTATCGGTGTACATACATATGTTTGTAAATTTGTAAATCTATTATGTTTTTCTACCAAAGTAATCTTACATGTGAAAAGATCTGTTCACAATTAGACATGTCAGTTCTTCTGGTAATGTTGTCAGATGGTTCTCGTTGAGAAAGCTGTTGGAAAAATTACAAAACTTCGCCTTATTTCATGTAATACGTAAAAGTGACATAATGCTCTTTTTTGCGCTGTCAAGTTGAGTCGTTTATTTCTATATAATTGAAAAGATTGCAATGACAAAATAGGATAAATGTAAAAAGTGCTGAAATATAAAAAGACTGACCTACGGAAGGATATTTATAGAAGATTTTGTTGGTCACGTAAGTTTATGAATACTTTTGTGAAGCTAAATGTATTATTGAAGATAATTGTGGGAAAATGAAGGTTTTTTTGTCTTTTATATGTACACTTTCCACTTACACTTAGATGGGCATAATGGTACTTTAAGAATAAAAGTTATTTAGGTGATGAAATTTGTGAAAACATTCTAATTTTATTTTTGTCATCATGTTCAGATGGCAATCAATAATGAAAGAAATATTAATTATTTACGTAGTATTGTCAAAAATAAAATCTTTATATCAAGCTCATTCCTTTGATAATTTGAGAATAAATTTGCGTACTTTGATTCGATGGTAATGTTTTAAAACTTACCTTGAAAAGAATGTAATTTACTATACTAAAGTCAATTTTGATTTACATTGCTCAATTTCGCGGTTTTTGTAAGTAAATATACAAGGTTCATTTCACTTATATACTACGTACATACTTACATTCCAAACATGTATTTAAAGGCAGAATATATTTATTAAACGAATTTTCCTATTAAATATTAAATTTTACTTACAGCCTTTCCAGATGCTGTAATGTCGACAACTGCCAACTAACAGTCTTTAGATTATTTCCGCTGACATCGCTGTATTAAATTCAAAACATTCAGCATCAAGTTAGAAAAGTGAAATAAGCGTAATGACAAAGGAGCAACATACATCTCATTGTAGAGCACGACAAATAAGTTAGTATGCTTATATTATAAATATAAACTCAGTTTTATTTCTATATAATTTTATACGATGGATTAACTATATACAGAGAATTAATTGCAAGGATGATAGATGTATTTGTGATTTAAAGCAATATCCTCATATTAAGAATTCGAAAACATTTATAAAACCAAAACTAACTTTATCAAATTTCTACTTATTCTACCTAATATATCCAGTTTTAAAAATGAAATGTAAAATATACATGCCTAAAATATGTATTTATTTAGAAATGCTAAAACTACTTACATACTAACGAGATTGGCAAACTGGCCAATCTGTGAAGATATTTCTTCTATATTGTTGGAAGCAATATGCCTAAAACAAACCAGTACAAAACATACAGAAAAGGGCTTATTCATGTAGTTTGAATTTGTACAAAAACCAAGCGAGTTTTACTTGTTTATTCCAAAATATGTTTTTCTAATTTCAGAAATATGTGATTTAGTGGACACTGTATTTGCGGTTAAAAACTATTTACCAGTACTCTATTGGAGAATTTTTGAAGGCATCATAAGGGATGTCTTGCAGTTCATTATTGTCGAGGTATCTGTAATGAAAAGAAAATAGTATAGTTTTAATCCTTTCTTCCCGTTATTTTATAATCGACACGTTTATCATAGTATTACTTAAAAACGGTAGTTATCTTTCGTATATTAATTTTAAAGGTGTTGTTTTTTGTAAAATGAATTGTTCATTTCCATTCTAAAGATTGCAATTATTGTTTATTTGATATTTGTATTATAAAGTTTTAAGATAAATTGGTCTACACTGGACACATGTTCATTCTTATATAAAATATTTCTTGTTCTTGAAAATAAATATTGAAAAAGTTCTAGGTTATTTAGTATGAACATTTATATAACGAGTAATAATACTTTGTTCTAGAACAGGCAATTACCGGTATGTGAAATATGAAAAATCGTTGTGTTATATCAGAACATATGTCTCACATTTACCAACAATACCCATATTTTTATGGTTTGTTGTCACGCATGATTCTTAATACTGTCATCTTAATTTATGGTATAACAGACCTTCCCTTTATGGACCAACTCACTTTATTGTTCTTATAATAATTACTTAAATAATGTTTCTAAAGAAATATTATTTAAAAAGTCGTTTGACGTGTCTATCTATAAGAACATGAACGTGTTTGCATCTTGGAGAGATTTTTTTCATTTGTACATCACTATTGTTAACACTAAATAACCTTGATAGACAAAAAAAATATTTTGTCATAATATTTATGTATTAATTATATTTGTTTATACAAAAGTTAATAAAACATCATTTCCTTTTTCGTTAAGCTAAACATCATCAAAATAGTTTGTATATGCAAAGTTCGTTTTACAAAAATGTTCATTTAGACATTATTGCAGATATGGTACAAACAATGTCCTAAATTGAAAAGCAAAACACAAGAAATGGTATACGTGTGGTGAATGCTCATAATAATGAAATACATAGTGTCATGATGTAGCAATACTTATACCCTTTGATAAATTGTATCATTTTATTTCAATTTCCCAACTTTACATATAGGACAAGCAAAATGACATTAAATGAACAGAATAAATGTTATGCTCAACAGTTTTTCCTTACATTCGAAGGAAACATTTGCTCAATACTTACACAACATCAAGTTCAGGTACGTTGCTGAACGCATCTGGCGAGATAAAAGCGAGATTATTCCCATTCAGTTTGCTGCAAGACAACAAAAAGATTCGTTCGTAGAAAGACAATCACGATGCATGTATGAGATCTCTGGCATAGTGAAACTTCAAGAATTTTTCATAATTCTTACCCCTAGTCTAGCTTCAAGCTTTCAGAAATGAATTTAGGATGATTTAAAGCAATTTATCAGATTATCTTTAGAACAGAAGAAATATAAAGGAATGGCGATAATTTAACTTTTTATTATTCTTACACCTTGTCTAGCTACATGCTTTATTAACGATGACGAATAAATGAATTTAAGATGATAAACTGTTTTAATACAAAATCTTTAGAACAAAAGATATAAAAAGCATGGTTATAATCTAACTTTTTATTATTCTTATACCAAGTCTAGCTACATGCTTTCATAGCTGAATTGAAGATGGTTAAGTGTGATAAAACAATTTAATGGAAAACACTTTAAAACATAAGATATGAAAAGGCATGACGATAATCTAATTTTAACAAACATTTATGTCATTTAATAAGCTGTTGAGTGAGCGCGTCTGTATAAAATGAAAAACCTATGTAGCCAATATAGCACCTGGTCAGCCTCCGAAACTCACTAAAATAAATAACCTAATCGTCGTCTTATTTATCAGACTTATTCAAGTTTGGCTAAAATATAGCAATGCATTTTGAAAACTAAGATCTTTAATTTGATGGTATGATTAAAAAAAGTCAATATGTAAAATAAAAAACTTACAGTTCCATCAAATTAGGTAAATTGATGAAGGTTCTCGCTGATATTTTAGTCAAGTTGTTGAAAGACAAATCTCTATATCGAAATGATAAACTTATTGTTATTTAATATATTTTTTTCAATAATTGTATGAAAAGGAAAGCAAAGTGGCCGAAGTTTATTTGAACGGAAACATGCAAATAGCTTTATGAATTAATGATCTCAAAATTATTTCATGGTAAAATGGTAAAATTACTTTGACATTTTACTAAATAATAATCGAAACAAAAACATTTATTATATATTTAAATGTTTAATACTTATTAAAATATTTTTTATTTAATTGCATGAATAGAAAATACAATGTACTTACATTGACGACACCTTGTCCATATCTTGGAAAGCATTTTGTTCCATTTCAGATATTCTGTTGCAAGCAAAATCTCTTGAATTACAAAGAAAAAAGACATATTGCTACACACTGAATGTTTACATGAAACTCAAAAAACATTATCCTACATTTCATTTCAGGACAAAATAATTTAAAGCATAATTAACGGCTTCCAAGTATGGCCAACAATTTTGAGACTGTCTAATGTTAAATTGTCATGCACTTATAAGGTAAACTGAACCATTTTAATCTGTTTCCTTAATATAACATTATATCAAACATCTTATAAATTATCTACTTACATGCTGTTTAAACTTGTTAAATTCGAAAGCACATCTCCTGGCACTTTCCTCACTTCGCTGTTGGTAATTATCCTTTGGATTCAAGAGGAAAAAATCGAAACATAAACGATATACACTTCACTCAATAATCTCTTTTATTTCTTAAAAACATAACTTTTAAATTTATTTATAATGCATTGTTCTTTGTTTTTGTGACGTGAGATTGACTGCATAACGAGTAACTCAACGTTTATCATATCAATTCTGTCATTTGCATTATTAAAATGTACTAAAGAAAAGATTTAAGCAATTGGAAAATAATCAAAGAGGTGAATCCATAATTGAAAACTAACATATTGTAATGCATGACTTTTTTCACTAATGATTTTCCAACCAAGGGCACGTGTTATTCCAAACTCAAATTCTATGCCCCTGGCTCAAAATTCCGTTGTCATTTGACAATTAAACACGTACAAACTAAAATTTTAAGTGAGTAATGACATTTCAAATAGTACATTTCATACGATTCGACGACTTTGCTATTATATACATGTTCGTGCATTTGATGCATGTGTCATATGCGCAAATACGACTGTAAAAAGCTGTATCATTCTTGCTTGTACCAAATTTGTTTCGGTTGATAATGCAGTTTGAATTCATTCGACAAATTATATAATAAATGGGTTGTTAAAGGAGTGTCTTTATCTATTATATGTATTTGGCTCTAATGTACAATTTAACGGATCACATGCTCGTGTCAAATACACGTTCCAAATCAAGATACTCCTATAAAATCCATATAAAATAATTATTTGTTTTGATTTTTAATTGTTCCCCTATTTTTTTAGGTAAAAGGTTATAAATAACTGGTTCCTGTTTCAGGTACAGGACATAAAAAATATAAAGCTAAAACTTAAAGAAAATATTGATATGAAAAAATGTAGCATACTTACAAAACACTTAATGTTTTTCTGACCCTGTCAGGCAATGCAAAAACCAAGGTATCTAATGTTAACTTGCTTTGTTGGATTAACCTGTTACAAATGAGAAATATTAAATATTAGCGAAGTAGCGACAAGTTGCGGAGTTGAGGGCCAATTTTCCGTGAAAAAGTCAGACCTATCATTGGTCACCGGTGAAATCGGTATTTTACGGCATCGGTAATTTAACGCGGGACATTTTATTGAACAATAGATTATGTACATGTATTCAAGCATCATTTTCTCAGCAATAGCAACAGCAAAAGTTCGGGACTTTTTATGGATTAATGTACATACATAATAGTTTCAGAAAAACAATTTTTGCAATTAGTTCTAGGTTGACCCTCATTTTAGGGTATATTGACTAGATTAATGTAGTACTTGTCTATAAAGTGCTTACATTTTGTATTCTTTTGTTATTTGTTTGTTATTGTTTGGTTAATATTCATACAAGAAATCGATTATTTGATAATTATCGGATATTCACAGCAATATATCAAATGAAGGTGCGAAATACAAACTTACCGTAACAAGTAGAAATTATGTTGTTAGAAATTATATAAAAATCTTTATTCCCTAAAGCCATAACTTGCCTGTGCAAGCACTCGATTAAATAATTATCGGATAGCGGTATACATGTACTGATCTTAATCGAGCGCATCCCGATATTTCAATAATAACAGTTTGTTTTAACCGAGGAAATTGAGATGCTTTTCGCCGTTTTGGGCTTGAAAAATGGTTCGCTATAGCCGAAAATTCGTTTTAAGCGACAACGTTTGTTGTTTGATTTGTGATTTACGTCACACCGACACAGTATAGGTCATTTGGCGACATTCCAGCTTTACTGGTGGAGGAAGACCTCAGGTGCCCCTACGTGCATTTTTTCAGGCACGAACGGGCACCTGAGTAGAACCACCAACGTTCCGTAAGCTAGCTGGATAGCTTCCTCACATGAGAGAATCCAAAGTCCCTGTCGGGATTCGAACCCACAGCTGTGAGGGGCAAGTGGTAAGCGACTACGTATTAAGCGTATTATATTGTGATTTAATATAAAATGAAGGAGGAATCGGCTGGGGATCTCAGGTTTAGTTCGCTATTAACGATAATTCGTTATAAGCGAGTTCGTTATAAGTGTTGTCGACTGTATTGTCTTTTCTAGCTGGATTTATATTATCAAACAAACCATAACACAAACTCATTTCTAAAAACTGCATACAAAGATTATTTTGAGTTCCACATTATTTTATATAAAAACAAGGTTCCCTTAAAACATAAACAGGCGAATTTTAAATAAACAAAATCTGTAGTGCATGTTTAGTAAATTCGGTAAGTTTAAAAATTATTAGTTTTGACTTTAATTGTTATAAATAATAAAGTTAACAGCATGAAAATATAACACATTGTTTGCTATGACGCCAACAGAAACAAAATTTGCTCATTTCTATACGACTGTAGATCTAAACGATAGTATTTGATCCTAAATTATATACTGCTTTTTGAGAATATAACATCAAAATAAAAATACATTTAAAAATTCTTACAATCTAAGTACAAGCGTTTCATCCAATAAACATGCATGTAACGATTCCACTTCTTTATCTGTGGCATTATGCAAGACGCTGTGGAGAGAAAACACAAATTATTTACTTAGATATATTAATTTCACTTACGTATAAAGTTATTGTAAAATTATTCAATAAGTGTTCTTTTAAACATAGTAACTTTTTAATATAATCAAATGAATCATATTAATGCATTTACTCAGTGATTATGTATTTTGTTCGACCACAAGGAACTTGACACTTTAAGGTAAAGAGTAAATGAAACAAAGACTTCAAATATAAATAAAATAAGTTTATTTCCAGGCCTCTTGTCTCCAAGTAATCAAATTATAAAGTAACAGCTCAAAATTACATGTATAATGAATTTGTCAGAATTTTATATTTATTTTGTATGTATGAACATAATTCACAGAAACTTTAAGTAACACAACCAAATAAGTTTATTATAAAATATGTATTATTTTATTTGCTTTACAATTTTACAATGCCTTTAGCACAAATATATACACAAATATTTTTTTGAAATCATTGTTCATCAATTAGAGATATAATAAATTTTCACTTACATTTTGTCATTTTGAATCAATTTGAAAAAATAACTGCAGTTATATGAATATCCAGTTTTCAACAATATAATCAACATAAAAATATGACAGAGACATGCCATCCTTCTCAGATCCAGATACAAAATGATCTGCGCAGACGACACTCATTATTTGATCGCACAGGTCGTATTGTTTACTAATCAATACCTTATAACATGTTTAATTGACTTATCTCTGTAAAAAGTCCTCCACTGGGAATCACATTTTGTTCGTTGTTAAATTTTTAAGCATTTTTGTTCAAACAAATAGATTTAGTTTCAAGTTTCCCTTTCATGTTCGTTTTAGTTTTACACTTGGTTACTTTTTAAAGGATGTCAGATTAAAGTTCTTGCACTTAGTAATTTCACTAATTTATTTTTTGTATAGTTTTACTTCTAAACTAAAAATATAAGAAATTTTAGTGTAACTGTTTTTTTTTCTAAGCAATTTCGGATTGTGAATTAAGAATTGTGGACGTTAAATGTAAAAAAAAATCACAATATTTCCTCGTTTGTTTGTTTGTTGTTTTTGTTTGCTTGTTTTTTTGTTTGTTTGTTTTTTATTTGAACGCCTCATGGAAAATAATTCCATAAACTGTTTTCCTAAGTAGAATTATTTTGACATATAAGTCTAAAAGTGCAATAAAAACGATTCTGATATGTTGTGTATACAAAACACTTCTGATATTTTCTTCCAAAATGCCATTGTCATTTAAGTTGCTGATTTATATAGAAACAGAAATATTTCAATTTGTACATCATATTAGCTGACTTATCGCTTTGAACATTTTTTTTTAATTTTTGATTAAAGCAATTTTAGATAACTTTTAATGAAAACCGTTAAGTTATACCTTTCAGAACCTGTTTTTAAAGTTAGATGAACTTATATATTTATCGTTCTGAATTACAACATTGTCTTAAAATTCCAAAAGATTAAAAGATACGCGGTCTTTAAAGTTTGTACAAAGATTTAACATATTAATGACTAACTCGCAACAGAATGTTACACAGAAATTGTCTAAATATTATTATATATACTATGCAACTTTAGCAAAAGAAACAACTGGTTCCTTATTCTTACTATTTCAAACAATTAATCATAATTATTATATTTTAGTACTTATTTCATGACTGTGATATTATATATGTAATAAAATTTTTCTCGTATTTAGACGTTTTATATATTTGATTAAAGATCTATGTTTATAAGTATGTGAACACGCCATTATTGTTTATGGCAACATACATTATGTTTGTGACTTAATTAGATCTTGAACATTGAAATCTATGTACGAGTCTTAATAAATGCCTATTCTGTTCTTTAAAAAGCAAGTAATTTATTTTTAGTGGTTTATTTTAGCATTTATAAATATTAATTTTCAGCTGAAGACTGATGAAAACTGAAAATCGTTACGATGCCGATAAAGCCCTTTATATGCCATTATTCTAACTTTACTGTAAAAAATCAGCAACAAAGTGCTCCACCGAAGCGAATTTTTCCTTTAAAATAACAATATTCAGCATTCAATTGAAAATGTATAAAGAGTAAATAACAATTATGTGAAGTCAGGCAAACTTGTGAATTAATAAATATTTGATATTTGTGGTTTTGCTGTTCAACGGAGGCTTCAAATGAATATTTATAAGCAGAGGACAAACGTTGTTCTAAATGACATTATAAAACAATAGAAAGTTAAATTTTCTTAAGACTAGACATGAAATATTAGGATTGAAATCTGCGGATAATTTGCATCCTGCGATCTAAATACTAAAAGAGCCATTGTAAAAGCAAACGATATACAGTAATTACAACCTTAGTTTTTTATAAACTGAATTAAATATTTTAACCACATGTAATATGAAATATATTTAATTTGGAAGGACAAAATGCATAGAAAATGTAATTTTTCGGCCGTAGACTGTTTGTTTCCAACTTGGCTTCCTTTGAAATACATAAATGTAGGATTGTTTTAAAACATGAATTATAAAGAAGGGTACTTATTTGAGCAAGATCTGTGACATTAAAATATAACTATCTAATAGCTGATTTGTATGAGCCAAATAACAACATACATGCAGTCAATTAATTAGTGAAAACGATTAATTTAATCACAATGATTCAATACCAATGTTTAAAATTAGAAAACTAAATTCAACATTTATCATTTATACAGATATATTAAAATTAAAAGACTAGATGTTAACATAGAAAGAGTGCAATACACGCGTTGAATAAAAAGGAAGATGCATGAGATAAATTTATAAATAGCTTTCATATTTCATACTGAAGAAGCATCTTAGAATGTTTTGTTCATTTTATGAAATGTAATTATCACAATTCTTTTAGAAGCTGACTCAAACTAAACTAAAATAAAGTAATTTGTCTCCTTGTTGTCAATGTCCTAATTGATATACCAAAATAACTTGTTTCGAACAAGATTTGTACAAGAGTAATTGTACATATTTCAAGCAAAATAAAACTGAAGGAAATATCAAAGGTAGTTTCTCCAAATGAAAAACAAACAAACAAAATATACATAAAAATTCTTAAAATTAATGCGATTGAATGAAAATGAAGACTTGAAATGATAGTAGAGAAGATCAATTGTCAACAAAAGCACACCTATGTTTGTAATAAATCGTTTTGAAAAACAAACGTTGAATTTATTCTTATTGAATCGTTTTGATGATGCATGAACCTGAGAAATGTAAAATTTGAACTCGATGAGTATTCATTAAACATTAATTCTATCGGATAATGGTATATTCAAACAGGCCTACTTTCATTGTTTAAAAGTTTTAGCAGCCGATTGCCGACAACTTACCTCATGTCAAGGAAAATAATTAACAGGTTAGACATGTGGTAGATTGTTAATCATGCTTATTAACAAATTAATATTTAAAGCCAACAATTAAGTTAATTCTTTATTAGGGTAACGCGAAGACAAAGGTTCGAAATGTGAAGCCTTAACAAAACAGAATATGATGTATGATGTATGGCATAGTTTCTAATAGATACACACATTGTTATAATTTATTGTAAAAATTTAGTTGGAAATTTTAACACCTGAACAATCAGGAACAACTAAACTAAAATGATATATTGAAAGTCAATACATGTTTACTTCATTGATTTCAAAAACTGTAAACTTAGTCTGTTCATACCCATATAACTTATTCTCGAAATAATTTTTGTAAGTTAAAGTGTCTGTTTGCTCAGTTTATCAACATCAAAGTTAGCTAAATTAATATATTAACATATTTCAAAACAATGAAAAATTAAAATGGTCTTTAACCAAACATTGATAATAACAAACATTTAGGATAAAGTATTAACTAACTGCCAAACAAATAAAACAAAAAGACTAACCCACTATCTTTTATAAGTTGAACTTGACCAATAAATTCAAAAGGATAATTACAGACATCAATGTAGTTCACTAAGGGGTTATTGATTATTCACGGGACAAATATTGATATTGAAAAAAATATTACAAAATGTAAAGTTTATTTGAATTTTTTCTGAAAAGTCACCGTTTACTCAATGATGTATATAATGTCATTTTACGCATCAAACTAAATAAATAAATAATGATAAATAAATAAAAAAATAAAAATGTATAGAATGTTCTTTAGTAACATATGAGACTGATTAATTTAAGCAGTACTTTGGTAAATATTACTTGCATTCGTTACTTAACTTTCACAGAATCGTTACCATATGACGAATAGTATTCTAAAAGAGACTAAGATACATTTTATATTAGCACATTTTATTTCAAAAGTAATCAACATATATTCTGTAATTCTACCAAGACGCAAACACACTTTGAAAATATATTTAATACATGTTTTGCATTGCATATGAGACAAAAGAAAATTATTAGAATTGAATAAAACTGCTATAACATAAAGTTTGTTAGTCTGAAAACGCATTAATAAAATATCAAGTGAAAGGATTTACATATGAGCCGCGTCACGACAAAATCAACATAGTGGGTTTGCGACCAGCATGGATCCAGACCAGCCTGCGCCTCCGCGCAGTCTGATCAGGATCAATGCTGTTCGCTATCAGTTTCTCTACTTGTAATAGAGTTGGTAAGCGAACAGCATGGATCCTGATCAGACTGCGCGGAGGCGCAGGCTGGTCTGGATCCATGCTGGTCGCAAACCCACTATGTTGGTTTTGTCGTGACGCGGCTCATATACAGTACGGACACCATGTCAAAATTTTAATGTACAATGAACGTTATACAGAAGATGTAAATTCTAATATTGGTTACATTAAATATAGATGGTGATTACATATAAGAATTGTCTATTGGTTTGACCGAATTATGAATATATTGTACATGGATGTAAAAGTCAACAACCATGAATAATGAATTATGATTCCAGAACCTTAGAAAGATGCGTATGTAAGAGGTCTTTACACTAGACGTCACTTGTTTAAGTGTTTTTGATAAAAACTTGATTCAATTAATTTGTTTTATAGCCTATACAAATGTCAAACAGTTGCTAAACGTTTCAAATTTGTGTCCTATCCCATTCAAACATTTTTATATATTGGCTTTTTTGTCTGCGTCGTCTTGTAGTGCTGTCTCCTGACTGAAATATATTGAAATATGCCATCGTAAAAAGTTTATATCTACATTAAAATTCTAATAACTAAGGCATTCCTATTACAAATTACAGGGAATAATAAGTAATTTAGTATATTTTTTAAGTTAAAGATATATGGAAACCTGTCATATATGTAAGTTATTACGTGCGTTGCGCGAAAGGAAATCAAATTAAACTGACTTCATAAATGTTTATGCCTACAGAAGAAATGATATATTGATGCACTGGCAATGTAACATTGTTTACGTCTAAGTAGTTTATGCATTGTGTAAGTAAATAATGAGAGCATTGGGTTAGCAATCAAGGGGTAATTGGTTCAACCTTCGAGCATGGCGAAATTTTTCCGTGATCACTGATCCTGATGATCATTTGTGTCTTACTGCTGATTAGGAAAAAATGTGGGATAAATAATTGGCCACTTGTGGAGAAGTTGGTAAATTTCAGGATAGTTATCAGCAAAG